AAATGAAGAACTCAGAAACTTTGATGGCTTACCTCTATCCTGACTTGTTTTGCAACCACCACCCAATTGAGTAATGCACATAGAAAGGATTTTCATAATCAAAATCAAACTGCTTATCCATGTAACCAGAGAGCAAAAGGAAGATGATAAGAACAAACAACATGCCCATACCTTTCCAATTTTTCCAACATTTCTCTTTCCCTTTTCAGTTGCTTCTGAGCTTGCTGCAAGTTCTGAACACAAATGTGATTCAATGTGTCACTCTAACACTAACACTATATGTGCTTGTACACGGGGGAAAAAAAGAGTAGTAAATTACAGCCTGATTTGTGGATACACGGCCTCTGCGGAGTTCATTAGATTGCTCAATGTATCGAAGAAAGATATCTTCAATCCTAGCAATGTACCATCCATACCAAAAAAGACTGCTAACAAAAGAAGAAACGAAAAAAAAGAGTAAATGTAGGAAGGATCCCATGGCACATAGAACAGATAGCTCTGTGGCTTTCTTCACAATAGCATCCGTGCGCTTAGGCTATGTTACTTTTAAACCAAGAGATGTAGAATTGCTCTTCTTCATCGGGAAGATGGAAAACAAGAACCAACTAGATGGAAGGAGGAAGTAGAATTGTTGCCTTTTAGGAGGTTGGGGGTACATGACAATTGACTAGGATTCATTATAACAATGTGATCTTGATAGTTATTGCAACTTTTGACGTTTGAGTTGATTTGGAGTTAAAGCTTTTATGGCTTCAAAGAGTCAACATAACAAATGGCAGAGAGTGCAGGACTGCAGAGGTTCTTCTTTTTCTTGTGTCTACTTACACCTAGATTTTGTTGAAGTTAATGAATAACACTTGTCACTGACTAGAAAGTTGATCCATGAGAGCAATAGTACTAATGGTGATTAGGTCGTGGATTAAGAAGCTCTTTCATAGCATCAAATTCTCTTAATGAAACAAAATGTACTTGATAGTAGGTACCGCAAATTCCATATACAGCACCGCAAGTATCTCAGTTTTAAAATGTCTACAATTAACGTGATTACTATATTTTGGTAGCAGTGGGGATGTAGCTCAGATGGTAGAGCGCTCGCTTAGCATGCGAGAGGTACGGGGATCGATACCCTGCATCTCAATTTTTTCCGTTGCTAATTTTCTGCTGGGGGTAATTGCGTAGAAGGATACATGTTCGATAGAATGCCTCTTAGAGATTTGACTCCTTGGAATAGATTGATATCAGGTTACATAAAGAACTGCCGAAGCTTTCACGGCATTTTTCTTGGTTCTTCTTGTATTGAGCTATTGTTATTGAAGCAGGGGGAAACATATACATGCGCTTCTGTTACGAAAAATGGGTATGTTGTTCATAATACCGTCTTGGTCAACTCACTGATTGAATTGTATTGTTTGTAAGTGAAACTTCATGGATTATGCAATAAAGTTATTAGCCGGAGACAAATCCCATGAGCATAGTGATGAATTTCAGGCCAAGCTATTAGAACTGCGCCGGCAGCTGAACGAAGCTAGATACAAGCCTGATACGAGTTCTGTTTTGTGCTACCAATTGTTGTACGTACGTAGTGGGGTTCAAATTGCGTTAAGGGAGCTCCAGGGCAGGAAGACTTCTCTTTGTTGTGGAAGAGAGCTATAGGAAGAGATGTGTTAGTGTATGAACTTAGGATCAGATCCGTACAATAAGATTGGCTTTCCTGTTTAAAGGAATCGAAAGGAAGTCAACGTTGACGATAAAGTTCTTATATTTTGTTACGCGCAATATGATATTAATGAGAATCATGAAGTTAGATCTATCGATCAGTATACTCAAATGATTGGCCAAGTTGTAACAATGCATGTGAGGCAGCTATGAACTAGCCAACAAAACATACCCACATACGTGTATGTAATGCCAGTAAAACACGCACGATGTTTTATGAAGACATGACAAATGGGGAGAGATTAAGAGATATCATACTCGAATTGTCATAAGGGTCTTCGTCAAATTATTTGCCATTGATTGTGAGGAGACGTACGCAGTCACGCTTATTTGTGGGATATGATTTTTGGCAGTGTGAGAAAGTTATATATGCATCCAGTGAATGTTATTACAGGTGCACTTATAAAGCATGCTTGATGATTATATAAATATACAACTTGATGAAGGATTTAGTTTGCTCAAAGCAAATATGTTAATGTTCTACGGAACATTATTCAACTCAATAAACCTCCTAAATCAAATCGAAAGAGAATCGACAAAATGTCAGTCTCGATAAAGAAAGGAAGAATATGTCTAGAAAGACGAATGCATTTACCTAGAATACCTTACAATGATTGTTTTATATGTTCTGACAAAGAATCATTGGTTGAAGGTTCTTCATGACATACAAATGTCTATGCATATGAAAAATAATATACTCAAGTTGAGATGAAATACGTATGCTACGTGTTCAAAGGTAGAAAGTCGTAGAGAGACATTAAATGGGTTAAACTCTAGAAGAGTATTTATAAGTTATTGAATAACTTGAAAGAACTAGACTTCCCTTCAATTTTGCATATTTGCAAAAGAAATTTATGTGCATCAAGAAATATATAAAGATGTCCATATGATAAGAACGAGTAAACTATCCATCAAACATAATGATGATTCAGATTACTATGAGAGTAATGATTTATTTGATAAAGTTATCCATTATTGACATAGACTATATAAAGGCAAACCTGGTGAAGGAGAAGATACACCAAAAGAAGCAACTACCTCCCTTTCTATGTATATGTTTTTCCTAGTATTCGGTGTAATGTGTGGTTGAGAGTAAGAAATAAAACCAGTATTACTTCTCTTCTATTTCGTATTAATGGTGTTGCTTATTCCCACGATGGGATAATTGTTCATAACACAAGTATCTATATTCTGAGGGCTCATTATTGATGAGAAATAAATAATTTAATCAAGCATCAACGAAATGCAAAAAGTAATTTTCCCCCAAGGTAGGATCGAAAAGTTGCAAATAAAAAAATCCGAATTAAGCTTTCACCAGCACGGCTCGAATTGGAATTACATGACTCCAATTGGAGTGGTAAATTGATAATTAGAGATGGAAAATCCCCAGCTAATATATTTGGATTGTCAAACTCTTTTGTTGGGGATTTTTGCTGAGCTGGTATTTAGATTCCACTTCTTCTGCTTTGTCAGGAATTCAAGGCTCAAATGTGGTCCACTTGTTCCTCCATTTTGGTTTCTCTCTACAACTTCATTCCTAAATTTCAAAAACAAAAATTCATAAGGTGTGTTTGGATAGAATGATTTGGATTTGGTATTTGTGATTTGGATTTGGATTTCTAAATGTCAAATTATGTGTTTGGATATTAATTACATTTGGTATTTGAATTTGTGCCAAATTCATGGGGTGATTTCCAAATACATGTCTAGTGTATTACTTGTCAACTTCAAATACATTTCAATAACATTTGAAATACCTTCTAACAAAAGATTGGACTTATTTGTAAAATATTAAAAGTTTAGGTACTATAGTGTAAGGAAAAACATATAAAGGTACCAAAATGTAATTTTACCATCAAAATTTCTGGAACTATTGTAAAATTTTGAAAGTTCAGATTCTAAATTGTAAGGAAAAATTATTTTGAGTACCAAATTGTAATTTAGCAAACTTTGTAGTAAGTGACCAGAAAATTCAAAATTAAAAAACAAAATAATGAAATTTAAAATATAAAAAATTAAAATTGAGTATCCAAACAACGAATTTGAATTACATGCATTTCAAATGCATTCATTTTAAAAACATGTATTTCAAATATCATACATTTGAAATACATCTATCCAAACGCACCCTAAATTTCTTTCCCAAATTGCATGTTTAGCATATCATTAGCTTTAAGTGTAAAATAATCACCTGTTCTTTTCATAATTCATATATTCCCCCCATGTTAGCAAATCCTCAAACTCTTCACTATCTACATCAGCGACCTATATTAACACCAAAAAAGGGCAAACATTAGAAACAACTAAAATGAACATGTGTTAAAGATACACACTTGCACAATAAGTTTCATCAATCTTCATGTTCTTCTTCTCACTAGCCAACCCATCATATCCGAGTTCTTACGTACCTCGATGCTCTCTAGGTTCTGCGACTGTTCCTCCTCCATGTTGATCATCTTTGCCTACTCTCAACAAAATTAGCAGAATCTGGAAGGGTTAAATAGTGAAACGAGAAAGAAATTAATCCATATAATAAGCCTCCCACGATGTACTTGCCTTAAGATGTTCAACATTGTGAATTGCTTTAGTGAGGAATTGCCAATGTAGTAAGGCCTCACTGGTTGAACTCACCTTATGCATTTCATAATTGTAACACCTGAGCTTGCAAAATCACCAACCACATTCTTTTTTCCATTAGGAAGTTACAAGATAACAAGAAGAGATGACGAAACAAAAACACTTCTGCTACTAATACTACTAACTTCATCTTGTCTTGCTTTTCCCGCTGCTGCTGGTTGAGTTGTTGTAGTTTCCCCTCCAGAGTCTAGGGTAAATAATCACACAGATGAACAAAAACAATTAGGCCCAATGCATGTTTCCATTTACTAAAAATGAAGAACTCAGAACCTTTGATGGCTTACCTCTATCCTGACTTGTTTTGCAAACACCACCCAATTGAGTAATGCACATAGAAAGGATTTTCATAATCAAAATCAAAATGCTTATCCATGTAACCAGAGAGCAAAAGCAAGAAGATAACAACAAACAACAGGCCCATACCTTTCCAGTTTTTCCAACATTTCTCTTTCCCTTTTCAGTTGCTTCAGAGCTTGGTGCAAGTTCTGAACACAAATGTGATTCAATGTGTCACTCTAACACTAACACTATATGTGCTTGTACACGGAAAAAAAAAAGAGTAGTAAATTACAGCCTGATTTGTGGATACACAGCCTCTGTGGAGTTCATTAGATTGCTCGATGTATCGAAGAAAGATATCTTCAACCCTAGCAATGTATCATCCAACACCAAAAAAGAGCGTGACAAAAAAAAGAAACAAAAAAAGAGTAAATGCAGGAAGGATCCCATGGCAACACAAACCTTCCGTGGGTAGCAAAGCTAGTCAATTTTCCCTTGGGGGAGAACAAAATGAGACTAACATCTGTGCCACATAGAACAGATAGCTCTGTGGCTTTCTTCACGATCGCATCTCTGCGCTTAGGGTATGTTACTTTTAAACCAAGAGATGTAGAATTGCTCTTCTTCATCGGGAAGATGGAAAACAAGAACCAACTAGATGGAAGGAGGAAGTAGAATTGTTGCCTTTTAGGAGGTTGGGGGTACATAACAATTGACTAGGATTCATTATAACAATGTGATCTTGATAGTTATTGCAACTTTTGACTTTTGAGTTGATTTGGAGTTAAAGCTTTTATGGCTTCAAAGAGTCAACATAACAAATGGCAGAGAGTGCAGGACTGCAGAGGTTCTTCTTTTTCTTGTGTCTACTTACACCTAGATTTTGTTGAAGTTAATGAAGAACACTTGTCACTGACTAGAAAGTTGATCCATGGGAGCAACAGTACTAATGGTGGTTAGGTAGTGGATTAAGAAGCTCTTTCATAGCATCAAATTCTCTTAATGAAACAAAATGTGCTTGATAGTAGGTACCGCAAATTCCATATACAGCACCGCAAGTATCTCAGTTTTAAAATGTCTACAATTAATGTGATTACTATATTTTGGTAGCAGTGGGGATGTAGCTCAGATGGTAGAGCGCTCGCTTAGCATGCGAGAGGTACGGGGATCGATACCCTGCATCTCAATTTTTTCCGTTGCTAATTTTCTGCTGGGGGTAATTGCGTAGAAGGAAACAGGTTCGATAGAATGCCTCTTAGAGATTTGACTCCTTGGAATAGATTGATATCAGGTTACATAAATAACTGCCGAAGCTTTCACGGCATTTTTCTTGGTTCTTCTTGTATTGAGCTATTGTTATTGAAGCAAGGGGAAACATATACATGCGCTTCTGTTATGAGAAATGGGTATGTTGTTCATAATACCGTCTTGGTCAACTCACTGATTGAATTGTATTGTTTGTAAGTGAAACTTCATGGATTATGCAATAAAGTTATTAGCCGGAGACAAATCCCATGAGCATAGTGATGAATTTCAGGCCAAGCTATTAGAACTGCGCCGGCAGCTGAACGAAGCTAGATACAAGCCTGATACGAGTTCTGTTTTGTGCTACCAATTGTTGTACGTACGTAGTGGGGTTCAAATTGCGTTGAGGGAGCTGCAGGGCAGGAAGACTTCTCTTTGTTGTGGAAGAGAGATATAGGAAGAGATGTGTTAGTGTATGAACATAGGATCAGATCCGTACAATAAGATTGGCTTTCCTGTTTAAAGGAATCGAAAGGAAGTCAACGTTGACGATAAAGTTCTTATATTTTGTTACGCGCAATATGATATTAATGAGAATCATGAAGTTAAATCTATCGATCAGTATACTCAAATGATTGGCCAAGTTGGAACAATGCATGTGAGGCAGCTATGAACTAGCCTACAAAACATACCCACATACGTGTATGTAATGCCAGTAAAACACGCACAATGTTTTATGAAGACATGACAAATGGGGAGAGATTAAGAGATATCATGCTCGAATTGTCATAAGGGTCTTCGTCAAATTATTTGCCATTGATTGTGAGGAGACGTACGCAGTCACGCTTATTTGTGGGATATGATTTTTGGCAGTGTGAGAAAGTTATATATGCATCCAGTGAATGTTATTACAGGTGCACTTATAAAGCATGCTTGATGATTATATAAATATACAACTTGATGAAGGATTTAGTTTGCTCAAAGCAAATATGTTAATGTTCTACGGAACATTATTCAACTCAATAAACCTCCTAAATCAAATCGAAAGAGAATCGACAAAATGTCAGTCTCGATAAAGAAAGGAAGAATATGTCTAGAAAGACGAATGCATTTACCTAGAATACCTTACAATGATTGTTTTATATGTTCTGACAAAGAATCATTGGTTGAAGGTTCTTCATGACATACAAATGTATATGCATATGAAAAATAATAATCTCAAGTTGAGATGAAATACGTATGCTACATTGAAACTCTGGAAGAGTGTTCAAAGGTAGAAAGTCGTAGAGAGACATTAAATGAGTTAAACTCTAGAAGAGTATTTATAAGTTATTGAATAACTTGAAAGAACTAGACTTCCCTTCAATTTTGCATATTTGCAAAAGAAATTTATGTGCATCAAGAAATATATAAAGATGTCCATATGATAAGAACGAGTAAACTATCCATCAAACATAATGATGATTCAGATTACTATGAGAGTAATGATTTATTTGATAAAGTTATCCATTATTGACATAGACTATATAAAGGCAAACCTGGTGAAGGAGAAGATACACCAAAAGAAGCAACTACCTCCCTTTCTATGTATATGTTTTTCCTAGTATTCGGTGTAATGTGTGGTTGAGAGTAAGAAATAAAACCAGTATTACTTCTCTTCTATTTCGTATTAATGGTGTTGCTTATTCCCACGATGGGATAATTGTTCATAACACAAGTATCTATATTCTGAGGGCTCATTATTGATGAGAAATAAATAATTTAATCAAGCATCAACGAAATGCAAAAAGTAATTTTCCCCCAAGGTAGGATCGAAAAGTTGCAAATAAAAAAATCCGAATTAAGCTTTCACCAGCACGGCTCGAATTGGAATTACATGACTCCAATTGGAGTGGTAAATTGATAATTAGAGATGGAAAATCCCCAGCTAATATATTTGGATTGTCAAACTCTTTTGTTGGGGATTTTTGCTGAGCTGGTATTTAGATTCCACTTCTTCTGCTTTGTCAGGAATTCAAGGCTCAAATGTGGTCCACTTGTTCCTCCATTTTGGTTTCTCTCTATAACTTCATTCCTAAATTTCAAAAACAAAAATTCATAAGGGTGTGTTTGGATAGAATGATTTGGATTTGGTATTTGTGATTTGGATTTGGATTTCTAAATGTCAAATTATGTGTTTGGATATTAATTACATTTGGTATTTGGATTTGTGCCAAATTCATGGGGTGATTTCCAAATACATGTCTAGTATATTACTTGTCAACTTCAAATACATTTCAATAACATTTAAAATACCTTCTAACAAAAGATTGGACTTATTTGTAAAATATTAAAAGTTCAGGTACTATAGTGTAAGGAAAAACATATAAAGGTACCAAAATGTAATTTTACCATCAAAATTTCTGGAACTATTGTAAAATTTTGAAAGTTCAGATTCTAAATTGTAAGGAAAAATAATTTTGAGTACCAAATTGTAATTTAGCAAACTTTGTAGTAAGTGACCAGAAAATTCAAAATTAAAATACAAAATAATGAAATTTAAAATATAAAAAATTAAAATTGAGTATCCAAACAACGAATTTGAATTACATGCATTTCAAATGCATTCATTTTAAAAACATGTATTTCAAATATCATACATTTGAAATACATCTATCCAAACGCACCCTAAATTTCTTTCCCAAATTGCATGTTTAGCATATCATGAGCTTCAAGTGTAAAATAATCACCTGTCCTTTTCATAATTCATATATTCCCCCCATGTTAGCAAATCCTCAAACTCTTCACTATCTACATCAGCGACCTATATTAACACCAAAAAAGGGCAAACATTAGAAACAACTAAAATGAACATGTGTTAAAGATACACACTTGCACAATAAGTTTCATCAATCTTCATGTTCTTCTTCTCACTAGCCAACCCATCATATCCGAGTTCTTACGTACCTCGATGCTCTCTAGGTTCTGCGACTGTTCCTCCTCCATGTTGATCATCTTTGCCTACTCTCAACAAAATTAGCAGAATCTGGAAGGGTTAAATAGTGAAACGAGAAAGAAATTAATCCATATAATAAGCCTCCCACGATGTACTTGCCTTAAGATGTTCAACATTGTGAATTGCTTTAGTGAGGAATTGCCAATGTAGTAAGGCCTCACTGGTTGAACTCACCTTATGCATTTCATAATTGTAACACCTGAGCTTGCAAAATCACCAACCACATTCTTTTTTCCATTAGGAAGTTACAAGATAACAAGAAGAGATGACGAAACAAAAACACTTCTGCTACTAATACTACTAACTTCATCTTGTCTTGCTTTTCCCGCTGCTGCTGGTTGAGTTGTTGTAGTTTCCCCTCCAGAGTCTAGGGTAAATAATCACACAGATGAACAAAAACAATTAGGCCCAATGCATGTTTCCATTTACTAAAAATGAAGAACTCAGAACCTTTGATGGCTTACCTCTATCCTGACTTGTTTTGCAAACACCACCCAATTGAGTAATGCACATAGAAAGGATTTTCATAATCAAAATCAAACTGCTTATCCATGTAACCAGAGAGCAAAAGCAAGAAGATAACAACAAACAACAGGCCCATACCTTTCCAGTTTTTCCAACATTTCTCTTTCCCTTTTCAGTTGCTTCAGAGCTTGGTGCAAGTTCTGAACACAAATGTGATTCAATGTGTCACTCTAACACTAACACTATATGTGCTTGTACACGGAAAAAAAGAGAGTAGTAAATTACAGCCTGATTTGTGGATACACAGCCTCTGCGGAGTTCATTAGATTGCTCGATGTATCGAAGAAAGATATCTTCAATCCTAGCAATGTATCATCCAACACCAAAAAAGAGCGTGACAAAAAAAAGAAACAAAAAAAGAGTAAATGCAGGAAGGATCCCATGGCAACACAAACCTTCCGTGGGTAGCAAAGCTAGTCAATTTTCCCTTGGGGGAGAACAAAATGAGACTAACATCTGTGCCACATAGAACAGATAGCTCTGTGGCTTTCTTCACGATCGCATCTCTGCGCTTAGGGTATGTTACTTTTAAACCAAGAGATGTAGAATTGCTCTTCTTAATCGGGAAGATGGAAAACAAGAACCAACTAGATGGAAGGAGGAAGTAGAATTGTTGCCTTTTAGGAGGTTGGGGGTACATGACAATTGACTAGGATTCATTATAACAATGTGATCTTGATAGTTATTGCAACTTTTGACTTTTGAGTTGATTTGGAGTTAAAGCTTTTATGGCTTCAAAGAGTCAACATAACAAATGGCAGAGAGTGCAGGACTGCAGAGGTTCTTCTTTTTCTTGTGTCTACTTACACCTAGATTTTGTTGAAGTTAATGAAGAACACTTGTCACTGACTAGAAAGTTGATCCATGGGAGCAACAGTACTAATGGTGGTTAGGTAGTGGATTAAGAAGCTCTTTCATAGCATCCAATTCTCTTAATGAAACAAAATGTGCTTGATAGTAGGTACCGCAAATTCCATATACGGCACCGCAAGTATCTCAGTTTTAAAATGTCTACAATTAACCTGATTACTATATTTTGACAGTAATGGGGATGTAGCTCAGATGGTAGAGCGCTCGCTTAGCATGCGATAGGTACGGGGATCGATACCTTGCATCTCCATTTTTTCCTCAATTTTTTGCTGGGGGTAATTGGGTAGAAAGAAACGTGTTCGACAGAATGCCTCTGAAGCTTTCACCGCATTTTGCTCACAACACCTTCTTGGTCAACTCACTGATTGAATTGTATTGTTTGTAAGTGAAACTTCATTGAGCAGAGTGATGAATTTCAGGCCAAGCTATTGGAAATGCGCCGGCAGCTGAACGAAGCAAGATACAAGCCTGATACGAGTTCTGTTTTGTGCTACCAATTGTTGTACGTACGTAATGGGGTTCAAATTGCGTTGAGGGAGCTCCAGGGCAGGAAGACTTCTGTTTGTTGTTGAAGAGAGCTCTAGGAAGAGATGTGTTAGTGTATGAACTTGGGATCAGATACGTACAATAAGACTTGCTTTCCTGTTTAACACCAAATAGGACTCAATTTTATATTTCATTTCTTTTTTCCTGTCTCGGTATCTGTCCTGACTGCTCTTCAAAAACTTAGATTAGATGACTAGCTTAGCTTCATGGTTGTCATGCTGGTTTCATGGCTCACACCAGTTGAACCAGGTCATGAAACCGGCATAAACATCATCGGTATAACTGGCATGATAGAATTACGAATTCTAAGTAAAATGACATTGTTTTAATAAATTTGATTAATAAAAGATAAATTTATTATATGTTTTATGAATATAAAAATTAAATTTTGATGTAATTTGTTGGATTCGAGTATAAACATTTAGATATTGACGTTAAATATTATATTTAAATATGAGAATATGTTATTTTATTTGGAATGCCATATTTTATTAAACTGTCATGAACCGAGACAAACAGGTTATATACTAGAATAGTAGAAATCACTACGAAGTTAGTAAGTTACACTTGGTAAAAGAAAAAAACTATGAAGTTACACATCTTCCAACTAAGTATTATTACTAAGTGTAACTTTATGTGGATCAAGTAGAAGGAAAAAAAAAACAACTATGCTAATGTATTGGTGTTTGCAAAGAAGTACAAGTTCACTTTGTACCATAAAATAAAGTACAAATTCAGTTTGTACCATAAGATTATTTGTATGATCAAACAAATTCAGTTTGTACGATAAGATAATTATTGTACCTTTATATTATGAGACAAATTCGGTTTGTATCAACACAAAAATACAAATTCAGTTTGTAACATAAATAAAGTTATATATAGATACAGCTATAACATTAAGCGTACAAGTTCAATAAAAAGAAATTTAAAAACCAAAATTTCAATACTATAAAGTATTATAAAATTCCTCATTCAGTACATATATTAACAAAGTGAAGAGGCATAGAATTCAATATTACTTATTCGTTATAGTTGTTTGATGGAATATTATTTCTACGTCGATGTTGTGTTAACTGTTTGAAAGATGTGTTTTCTTTCAAGGTGACTTCCTTTGGCCCTCGATATGTATTATAATATAATATACTACCGCCATGTCCGATTCTGATCCAATCTCCGCTTTCCTCTCGGACTAGACTCTCCCCTTCTATATAATACAGAGCAGAAGAAGATTGAGGTAGAACGATTGTCAAACCAAACAAAATCACTCTCTCTCTCTCCTAACCTAAAGTCCCGATTAACTCAACCATGTCCACAACGAGGAAACTGATCACGTTGAAGAGCAGCGACGGCGAGTCGTTTGAAGTCGACGAGGCCGTGGCGATGCAGTCGCTAACGATCAAGCACATGCACATCGAAGGCCACGTCGACATTGACGGCGCCATCCCGCTGCCCCACGTCACGAGCAAGATCCTGGCGAAGGTGATCGACTACTGTCAGAAGGAGCTCTACTCGTCTTCTTCCACGGCCGAGGCCGATGCCGATGCCGGCGGCGGCGACGAAGATGTGAAGAGAGCGTGGGAGATGAGCGATTTGGCCGGAGTCGGGGAGGACACGCTGTGGGACCTACTTCTGGCGGCCAACTACTTGGAGGTCGAGGGGCTGTTGGATCTAGCGTACGAGGCTGTGGAGGAGATGGTGAAGGGAAGGATCGATCCGGAGATAAGAATGGTTCTCAACCTGCGGGAGGATCATCGTTGCTGCCAGAAACCCTGGGCATGCATATGAATGGATGATCAAGATATAGGTATAGCCACCGGTTCTAGTTACTTATGTTTTTGTGGGAAATAGAACAGAACAGAGTATATATGTAGTAGAACGTAGGTTGCGTGCATGCCCGTCTCTGATTCAGTTCCTCCTTTTAATTCTTTCATACATATATATTCAATTAGTGGCGCATATATGTGATACTTTTATGTAACATCCAATATCTCTTTGATCAAATCCAATCCCTTTTCTGCTCAATATATTATCTGTTTGAGACCTATCTCTGCACTTTTTTTTTGTGTGTGTGCATTATAGTGAATTCTTGAGAAGTCAATTATTTGTATGGTAAGCACGTTTAACTTTGAATATCTTACAAGAATTCTTCCGAATCATTCCAAAATGTGTTTTGTCACTTAAGATTGGATTGTTCCCTAATGAAAAGATTGGATTTTTTTTCTGCTCAATATATCCCATGTTTTTTTGTCGAAGTGAGATTTGCATACGCCGCATTGGAATCCAAAGACGCGAAGAGGATATAATACCATTTGTATCATCCTAACCTTCTTTCTAACCAAGATATTGTTTGTATTGGGTCTATTCCACACGATTTCTCTTTTAAAGTGCATCATGATGACTTCTCGAGAGGTCATCCTTCTCTACATTGCTCCACACAAGTACGTTTAACTTTATAATTTTTATGAGAACTCTTCAATTTCACATTAAAACACATCTTGTCTGAAAATTTTGAATTTGTAGTTATAAATCATGAATCTCTCACATTCGATGGCAATGTTTTGTTAAATTCATCGCCTAATTTGCGCAGGCAATCGCTTGGCTTTGCGCTCCATAATTTGCCCTCGCCCGGAAACCTGCTTAGCGGTGAATTCGAATTGTCAACGTCGTCCATAAAATATGATAACAAATAAAAAATTATGTTTAAATTATATAAAATTTAACTCATAAAATTCACAATGTCATGTTTACAACGAACCACAACGAAATTTCATATAATGAAGATCGTTCTTGATTATCTTTATAGCTGAAAGATCATTTTGCATGAAATTGACTTTATCAAAAGTATCAAATGAGTTATCTGGACCAAAACAAGAAATGCAGTCTAACAATTAAATATTCACCTCACCCAAATTAGATCACAATATACCGCAAATCTATTCAATTCACCCATCAATTACAATTTGAAAGTAAAATTGAAAGAAACTATAAAAGAAGAAAAAACCCAAACTTGCAATTTTGACTAAAGTAATCCTTTTGACCGTCAAAAAGTAGATTGTGATATTTTGGTGCCATAAGAATTGAAATTATGCAAAGTGAGTAAACTGAAATACCTCCTTCCTAGACATTTTAATTAACTCACTCATCTTTACTTTATTTAAGTGGTGAAAAGTCAAAACATGTAAATGTTTTACTAAACAAGAAAATTAGACTAAATTACCACATTCCAAATAGACATAAAAAAATAATATGCCACATACCAAAACAATACAACATTTTGATTCAAAATATCACATAATCAAAACGATACATCCAAACAAGCGAGAAGTCTTAGAGCTATAATAATGAAAAGCTCATTTTATTATGTGGACCATGGTCTCTGGCCTTTATTTAATAATAATAATACTAAAATTGATCAAATTGACAACCCAAACAATAGGGCGTATCAAATTGATCAATCATTCCAGCCATGACACAGTGGTCGGTCGAAAACATAGAGACACAACTTTCTTCAGTAGTCTTGTTATCATCATGCCACCGGCATATCGGTTTCGCCATCCCAAGGGAACGCCGCCGATGGCTTCGTAGCCTCCACCAACAGCTCTTCCAGCCTCACCTTCGGCTTCGATCTCTTCAGTGCCCCAATCTCATGCCCGTACTTGCTCACTTCCCCACAGTACTCCTAGCAATGATCAAATACCATAAAAATCAGCATTACCAATAACAAATTTCCCGACATCCCGAATACCAAATAACGTCCGAAAATCCTCGACAACAGCGAACCGGTGTGCGTGAATTGTTCTTACCTGATCAGCATGCATTTTCCTGACGAACTTCTTGAACACATCAAAGTTGTTAGAAATCATCAGATCATCCGTCAACCGAAGGATTGTGACACCATACATCCTCAGCTTCTTCTCTCCTTCCTTGGCCGGTCGGACGCCGTTCGGCCTCGCGTTGAGAAGGATCTGATTGTAACCATTGGCGTCGTACCTGGCCAGGGCATTCTCTCCCGCCACCTCGATCCCTTCCTTCCATCCGTCGCTCAATACCTGCGTCATTAATTTATCACATCATCATACATAACAATTGATTTCTTTCGCGACAATGATCCGAATGGTACTCTGAACCGCACCATCTGAACGAGTTCCTGAGGGGCACTTTTGGCATCAGCAGACTGCTCGGAGTTCCTCATTTCCAGGCAAGTGAAGTTTAGAACCCCGTAGTGCCTAGACAGCATCCTCGCGACAGGACGGTATCCATCTCGATCGGGCAAGTTGTAGTAGCCTGCTGTGAGCTCCGCCGCGTGGCTTGGGTCAGTGTACCACCAGTGAATTCCTGAAACCTGCAATCAGGAACATAAAATTTTGGTGTGTGACAGATTATTAGTAATATTGGACAACGTGTATGTGATGTTACCTTAGCTGCCAATTTGACCTTGCAGCCCAGGAAGGCCTTGTTGGCTTCATCGATGATGTCGTCGCCATGGAGCAGCAACTTGGTGGAGTACCAGGTCAGGAAAAACTTGCCCTTCTCGGCGAGGTAAGTGCCGTTGTTCGATCTGAAGAAGGCTGTTTGGTCAGGTGTATTGTTGTACTCCCCTGCATCGTCAGGCAATTCCCACTCAGGGTGCCCTGCTTTTGCTGCAGCCGCTTTGAAATCTGCTGCCAGGTACTTGTCATAGCACTGGACCGTATAAATTGGCAGTAAGAACATTAGTATGATTGTAGATTGTTCATGTTTCAAGGGCATTAATGAAGTGGTTGGTTTTGATTGTATGTGTCACCTGAAATTCTCCAATCCCAGGGAAAACCCATCCTTGTGTTTCAGGGTAAGAAGGGTATCTGAGCTCCCCAGCAGGACCAAGCCCAACTTCAATGTCGATTATCAGCCCCGATTCGAAGAAATCCGCCATGCTCTCCCTGAAGCTCTTCATGTAATCGCCATAAATCTGCGCGCATAGTGCGAATTAACTACACACCAATTAAGCTGGACGATGAACATGACAACGATTCGCAGTAACGTGCTCTCACCTGTACTGGAGTCCGACCAGCGAAAAGGGGCATGTGATCCACGCCAAGTGAGAGATACTCCTTGTTCCTTACGCCACCCCGGTTGGTGTAGAAGATATCAGGGTTCGTCTCCCCAACTTTGAGCACCCATGGAGGAAGAGGGATGAAGACGTTGTCTCCAACATTGCCACCACACTGATGAAACGACATGATGGCTTGGATTTTGAGGTCCAGCTCCTTGAGCAGCAAGAACAGCTCCCTGTAACCGCTCCAGTCGTACTGCTTGGGGCCTTTGGCTTCGATGATCCCCCACCATACATCCACCATGACCCCATCGATTCCCGCCGCGGCCTTAAGCTCCTTGAGTTGCTTCTCCAGCTTGTCCTTGTTCTCAAACACATTCTCAGCTGTAACTACTCCCAACTAATCAACCAAAAAACATGAATGTGGCATTCAATTTGTTAAACACAGAACTGGGTATTGACCGGTTGATTAAGTTTTAAGTAGGGGGAGTGATCATCATGGTTACTCACTGGGAGCATGACGAAAGTTGGAACATAGTGTTGAATCAGCTTGTCGTCATAAGTGGGAGCCTTGGCCTGCATTTTTTTCTGATCCAATTTGCTGGAACAAGTTCTGTTCTGGTTGTGTTTTGTTGAAAAACCACCTGCTGCTGGCCACTATTTATAGGGGGAGATCTCAAGCATGCAAAAACGCAGGCTGTTGGCTTTCTGGATCTCTACAGATGTACGATTCGCAATGAATGAAGGAGAGGTAAGGTCACATCGCGTACGTGAAGGAATTAAAAGCAAGTGTGCTGTTTTTAGGTAAGTGGATTAAAAACGTGGCCCAAGTAGCTAGGTGCTCTTCTTGTCAAGTATGGGCAATTTCATTGTCAAAGATTAATCAAGCTACACTACTTCCATCTTCAATTGACGGTTCACAGTGGGGTTGCTGCTTTTAGATTGGGGTTCAAATTAGTACAATAATCATACTTATTATTTACATCTAATTTTAATATACTCAATTACTCAACACAAGTCACACTACTCATGACTAGATTTGAGCGCGCCCGTTGGACGGACATATTTCATAAATAACATAAATAACAATAGCAATTATACAAAGCAAGCTATATTTCTATTTGTACTATAAAAAATTCCAAATGATCGAACTAAAAAATCAAAGAGAAACATATGTGATAGAGTTTTCTATTGTCCTAACATATGCATCAACAAAGTCTTCATTTAAAGTAAAAAAACTTAACTCATTAAATGGAACTCACTCCTGAAATGCATAATCAAACCACACTTCGATTTAATCACTAATGTCAAAGACTACTACAAATTTTTTTTTTTTTACTTCTTTTGATTGCTCCCCCATCAGCATACAACATTATTATCTCCACCAATAACATCACATTTATCGTTATCAATGAAACATGTCTCCACCATCAATAGTTTCTTTCTTCCTTTCACCCGTTACATTCAAACCAAATTTTTAAATTTCATCTTGTTTCATGAAATCAAAGTTATAACTAATATGGTTGGAATATCATCACAAACTTGGAGTGTAGTATTTGATCACCAATTTGTTTGATATGTTTGAAATTGGCATGTCATCTGTTGTTGGTAGACTACTCGCTTTGAAGTTCTCAAAAGCATATACTATGTGGTCTTGAAACAAAGATTGTCAATCCTTATTCACATGTTTGACTATTTGCACCCAAATACCATTATCTTAAGAAAAAGTAACAACATTTATAATATTTTCAAA